TGGAGTTTCTCGCCCCTGCTTTTCCGGCACCCAGCTCTATTCTGCGGCTCATCTACATTTTGGTTGGACACCGCAGGCTGCATTTGCGAGTCTCCATCCCGATTCTGCAGCTTCTCAGTCTGCTGCAGTTCTCCCTCCTGTTGCAGCCCCCTTCCCCGTTGGTTTGCCTTCCCAGGCTGCATGGTTGCTGCCTCAGGGTGGTGCACAGCGTAATCCAAGAAAGCGAACCTATTCAGAAGGTCCAGAGGAGGCGTATCCGGGGCTCGAACCTGATTCCTGGCTGGATAATGTGCCAGTGATCGACGGTTCGCAAGAGGTGCAAAGGCAGAGCCAGGCAGTGTCACTTAACTTTCCGTCTTCAGACCAGGCCGCGCCTTGCTCATATGCTGCATGCCAGTTCTCCGCAGGAGCAGAAAGTTCAGGAGATGCAAGCCGGAGCACCTCAACAACGTCACCGGGTGGAGCTGGCGAGGCGTCCACAGCAACATCAGCGGAAGATGGAGCAGGCGGGGTTTCCGCAGCAGCAGGAGCAGCAGAACCGGCAGCAGCTGGCTTTCAGCCTTCCTGGGTTTTCAGGCATCCGTTTGTCCACTCGCCTGTTTTGCAGGAGGGAGTGGTGGCGCCGCTTATTCGGCTGTCGCCTTCGAATTTTCAGGAAAGCAAGGGCTCGACAGTGCGTGGCATTTTGGCGGCTCTTCGCTGCCTGTTCATGATGGAGACACTGGATCACATGGATGCTTTGGTGCTGGTGGAGCACCTCCAGGAACTGGCGGTTCTATCGGCCNTAAATATAGGGCAACAATTTCTGGCTTTAGATGCTATCGTATCTGCAATGCACGTCCTAGGACAACAGCCTTCTTCTTGCAGCTGGTGGGAAGCGTTCGCCAATTGTTTCGATACGAGCTTCCGGTACCCTGAGCCAATATCCCGCTCCCAAGAGAGTGCTCGGGTAAACATAGACCTTGCCAATCGTATGTTGGCCGCCATGTCCATCTACAAAACAGGAAACCGACCACAGTTTGAGGAAATTATAGATCTGAAGCGGATCCTTTTCTTCTCACGCTATGCACCCTTATACTTCAGGTCTTTCAAGTGGAAAGCGTGGAGAGATGATTACTTGATGTTTGAGAAGGAACATCCTTCGTTTTCTGAATGGCTCCAGAAGCGAAGGCATCTGCCGAAATGATCACTTCCAGTCCGCAGTTGAGCACGAGCACCAACAGCAGCGATGCTGTGGTGGCCTGTGCGTGAGCCTCGAGTGTTATTCTTACGTGCAGATATCGCAGGGCCGGTTAACTAGAGGGCCCGCGAGACGATGAATGGAGTTATGTCGGGGCAACAAACGTTTGAAGTGAATATATGAGGGATCTTCTGGCAAAGTAGCCAGAGCTGTGGCTTCGCATTTTACTGACCCACAGTTCCATTCTGTAGAATCGGGCTGCATGCTGCACTTTGAAGCATGCAGCGGCGCATGAACAGCATTTTGTCAAGGACGCTCGTGGAGCGTCCCGCCGATTTTCGGTATTGGTGGATGCTGTCTGCACAAGCGCAGCACTGTTTTTCTGGGGATGCTACGGTGTACCGCTTGGGCAGCCGCATGCACGGATCCAATGAACCCGGCACTATAAACAATCCATCTACCCATTCTCGGACTCCATCCAGCTACGTGAACTGCCAAAGCAGTCTATGGACGCAGTGCATGCGTGCACAGTTCTCGTAGACATGCTCACCGTCGACGGGAGCCCATCCTGCGTGTACAGTAGCGACTTGTACGCAGGTAGCTGCTTACGTGAGGCATTTTGTATGAACTTCGAGCTTTTCACATGCATCAATTACGCAGGGGTGCAGCTCTTGACGGTCCTCTGTTCGGTTGGAGGACGAGGTACGAGTATACCCTGGAGCCGCGGATCCTCATTCGGGACCGCCATGATTTACCCTGCTTTTAATCTCTCCAAACTTATATTTATCGAAAGGTTGAGACTCTCATGCTGGCTTTTCGAGGAACTGCATCTACTGTTTCTATCATTTGGGCAGAAGGCACAAACTACGGCTGGGACGCGGCAGTTGCAGCAGCAAAGCAGCGACGCCGAGAGGGCAGAAGAAAACTGGCCACCTGAAACTCCTGCATGAAACCCAAGCATATTATTAAAGAACTTAAATCTTACTAAGCTAAATTTAGATTTGTGTTAAGGCGTTGGCTTCTGCGCAGATGTGGGGAGCGTGCTCCCGACGGTGGCCTAGCCCCGCGCATCGGCGCCATGCATCTCTCACAGCATAGATGATATCCTTGAATGAGAAGCGGAAATGCGCCTTATTACAACACTATTGAATCCTTTTGCATACAAAGCAAATTGTGGAAACAGGAGGGGAGAAATCAACACCGCTTTGCCGCACTCTTGTCCTCGTGAACAGGATTGTTGAGCGTTGTGAGTGGTGTCCCGAAGAGGAGAGAAAAGCAGGTTCCGGAACTGGTCCTAGTTATAGCGCTCGCACCTCCTGCGTTGACTTTTTGTTTATCTATACACTGTTGAGGCCTCCGACGAGAGTGGAGATAGGGAGCTGACTTCGACCTGCGACGTCCCCTCCAATGGTCACCTGACTACTATCCAGCAGTTGAAGCGCAGACACCACGGCTGCGCAAAATGTCATGCATATTTCTCTTCAGCTCGACAAATTGTTTTTATGCAAAATGAAACCCATCGTTATGACCGGCGATAGCCCTCCGGACGGAGAAATGCAACTAGAAGCGCTGCGACCTGGATCGATACAACCAGCAACATACCTCCACGCATGGGAAGATGCTGTACACGGAGCTACTGGAGACTCTAGCGAGCTATACTGGAGGAGAAAGCACGTTAAAGAAGGTAGAAAGTGGTCGACATCAAGGCTTCGCCGTGGAATTTTCTGGGCTTTGTTGTCTACGCTCATTCCTGCCTTAATCATCTCAGTGTTGCGAGTAGTTTGCAGAGCCTCCCCGTCTGCCTCCACCGACCGAACAGCAGGCACTTCGACTCGTAGGCTGTCGCACAGTGATGAAGGTAGCCAAGGAGACAGTACTCTATCACGGCTCGTAGAAGAGTGTGCAGCTTTGGAGGCGGACCTGGGACTGAATGTGTCTGAGGAAAGCAATCAACCTGAAGGGTTGGGCGCAGCTGAACAAGTGGCAAGGATCGCCCACACGTTGTTTCTGGAAGGCCTGGCCTTCGAGATGCAACACGCCCAACAACCCCTCCCCACAAATGTCCTCCCCTTGCCGCCTTCCCTTGCCAGTTCGGTTATACACGATCAGTATCAGCCTGCGCAGTGGACAGTGGGCATACCAGACCAGCAGTATGGTGGTCAAGGCCCCCTACACATGAGGTCCGACTTGAGGGACTCACAGCCTCAGCCTGGAGGTCTACCGCCTGAAACTGTGTCGTCCTCTCCCCAGCCTCTTGGTGAAGCTTTTCAGCCTTTCTCTTCGGGCACCCAATCTTTTTCTGTGGTTCCCTCACCTGATTTTTGGACTCCTCTGGCTGCATCTGCGAGTTCCCAGCCCCTTGTTGCAGCTTTTCAGTCCGTTGAAGCTCGCCATCCTGCAGTGGCAGCGCCCCAGCCAGTTGGTTTGTTCTCTCAAACTGCACCATTGCTGCGCCAGGTTGGTGCACAGCGCAGTTCAAACGAACGACGCCGTACAAGGGTTTCACGGAAGCCTTATATGGCGCTCGATCCCGATTCCTGGGTGGATGTAATACCTGCGGTCGACGTTTCCCTTGAGGGACGGAGAGAGAGCCAGACATCTCCCCTTCAAGGGATATCTCTAGATCAGGCAGCGCCTTGCTCAAGCGCTGCATACGAGGCGTCTGCAGGAGAAGCAGAAGGTGCAAGGGCAGGCCAGAGCTCCTTAGAACCGTCAGCAGCTGGTGCAGGCAAGGCCCTTGCAACAGCGCCAGGGGCACATGGTGCAAGCGAGATTTCTTCAGCAACAGGAGCGCCAGCCGCAACAGCTGTCTTCAACCCGGAGTGGATCCGAACGCACCCATACGTCAATCTGCCTGTTTTGCAGGAGGGAGTGGTGCCGCCGCTCATTCCGCTGTCGCCTTCGAATTTCCGTGTTACCAAGGGCACGTCAGTGCGCAAGGCTTTGGCTGTTTTTCGCCGCATGTTCTTGTCGCAGACGCTGAGCCAGGCGGATGCGGTCGTGCTTGCAGAGGATGTCTACAGGCTTGCGATTGCGTCGGCCGTTCGTGCGCGGGCAGCCAAGCGGATGCGCCGCGCTTTGCATGGCGCCGCAAATATAGGGCAACAGTTTCTGGCTTTAGACGCGATTGTGTCTGCAATGCACGTCCTAGGGCAGTCGCCTTCTTCTTGCACTTGGTGGGAGGCATTTGTCCAATGCTTCGATACGAGCTATCGGTACCCCGAACCAGCACGCCGCGCCAAACGTGACAGTACCACGTTAAATATAAACCTCGCCAATCGTATGTTGGCTGCCATGTCCATCTACAAAACAGGAAACCGACCGGAGCTTGAGGAGATTATACATCTGAAGCGGATCCTTTTCTTCTCACCCTATGCACCCTTAATCTTCAAGGATATTTGGTGGGGCACGTGGAGATCTGATCATCTACGGTTTGAAAAGGAACATCCGTCGTTTTCTGAATGGCTCAGGAAGCGAAGGCATCCGCCGAAATGATCGCTTCCCCTCCGCAGTTGAGCACGAGCACCAACAGCAGCGATGCTGTGGTGGCCTGTACATGTGCCTGAAGTGTTACTCTTGCACGCAGATCTCCCAGGGCCGCTTAACTAGAGGGCCCGCGAGACGATGAATGGAGCTATGCCGGGGCAACAAACGTTTGAAGTGAATATATGAGGGATCTTCTGGCAAAGTAGCCAGAGCTGTGGCTTCGC